TGAAGCTAGCGCTGCATGCTTTATGTTGTACATATGTAACTAACATTGTATAAGCTTTTATAAATAAATAAATAAAAAAAATGCTGATAGATGAACTAAGGGCCAACACGAAGTACCGAACGGTAATCAAACAGCAAATTGTATAAATAAAGCAAATTGAGTGTCATCCCAGCTGCAACTGAACCGTGTTTACATTTGTCTATTACTTTTATTCATTGCTTTAACATATTTATACACATTTGTAGTACATAACCTATAAATGTTTGATACGATTTGTTGGATGTAAGCAATGTAATGATAGTGCAGTTAAAGTGCACTCGTGTTCTGTGTTATCAGCAACAATTATCAGTCAAATAAGGCAATCAGCTTAATTATACTATGTTGTTGCTATATATAAATTAATTATACTATGTTGTTGCTATATATAAATTCAATCGGTCAACATGCATACATAATTACTAGAGAACCCGTAATTAATCATCTACTCCAAGTGGGTGTAGTTTTGTACACACGTCCTTTTCCCTTTGCATAACTGTTTATTGTTGTGTTGTTGTTGTTTGCAAGCGCAGAATTTTATTGCTAATTAACCCTTATTTGATCTCTTTAATATTTTATTGCTATTTACTTTCGTTGTCATCTTCGTCTCTATTAGTTTCTTTACTCGCTTTGCGTAAGCTTCATTTTGATTGCATTCTCAAATATTTATTGGAGCTACTTGTAAATTGATTTGCATCTGTTCATTAGCAGCCTCTGTCATCCATTTGTTGCACAGCGTCACACACCATAAGCAATCAAAAATTGATATATTTTTTATTTATTCGCATTTGTAGCTCAGTGTATAGGTTGGACAGTTCATTTACCTCGCTGCTGCACGTGTGTATGTGGTGTACGTATGCAATTATTAATTGACAAGCTCAGTTTTTATGCGTTTGCATTGATGTCAATAGATGACATCCGGCAATCTAATCAAGATTTGACGAACAGCATTTGTGTGATGCAGCAGCAGTTTATTAATATTGAAATTTCCGGAAGTAAAAACTGATTTCCAAATGTTCGCTTTGTGGAAAACTGCTGAGTCTTTTGTTGTACGAATGAAGCGCTTATGAAAATATCAATTAAAACATTATTGGCTATTCATAAAACTGTTATATTATTAAGTGTCTTGATTAATTGATCCATTTGTTATGAATTAGTTGATACTTTTGATATATAGCTTGCATGGTTTTGGCGATAAATACATTAAACTGAATGGACGGAACCATGCCACCTTAACAAATTTTTCAAATCACACGAGTCCCTCATTTTTAATGTTTTCGATTAGTGACGTTTTGTCGCCGTAGCAGTCCGAACTTACTTTTTTCCAAGGCACACATGTACCAAGATATCTGAATTTTCGCTCCAATAATACTACTTAGTGTATCAACTTCTAATTTTTGGAAAATATTGTCAAATATTTAAGAATATTCGAAATACATATATGTACATTTATTTGCATATATGTAATCAATTTTTTGAAATTCTTACATAACAGTTAACAAGGACAAAAGTATTCTACTTGTGAGGTAAAGAGTTATCTTTTCGAGGTTCGAGGTTTTTTTTAAGAAAAAACACAGTGTTTAGTTTTGTACCTAGTAGATACATATGTGTCTCTATTTTTCCTTAATCACCTATACGTACATTGTTTAAATAGTTGTCACGCCACAAATACCGGGTAGCTTGAGTTGTATGATATACAATATTAATTTATTAAGAAAGGTTTTATATTTTTGCAAATGTTATTTTATTAAAATTTTATATATATGAGCGTATGTCTTTAGCGCGCCAGATCGTTGTTGTCGAAAAGTTTACTGTAGCGCGCAGGACGGGTGTTGTACACGGAAGGTTGAAAGCGAAGTGTATGTGACGAGTTGTCGAACGAATTGTGAGTCCTATCCCGATGTCCATCCTTTTTGTTGAGTGGGTGCAGGTGTGGTGAGTTGCGTTGGTGTGGTGCGGGGATTTGGGTTGCGTATCAGCTGTGGTAAATTAAACTGTCTTATTAGGGTGCGCCAGTTTTCCCGCGTAGAGTGGGTAGATGCTTAACTCATTTAAACACACAGAAACTTCAAATTTAATGGGGAATGTTTATTATCGTTCGAAAGCGCATTCTTTAGCATTTATTTTTTGACATAACCTCTTTCAAATGTTGGCCAGCAGAATTGTCCACAAAAACTTTTGGTATCCCCATAAGAAAAAGTCGACCGGCCCAAAACGAATATATATATATATATATATATATAACCAAATATGAATATTATATTTCACTCCAACACCATTACTATGGCCTCCTCAATTTCACTGTTTTTCATTTTTATATCTTTCGCGCTGAATTCAAGGACATGTCATTTGCAAATTCTCAGTCCAACTTACATTTATGTAGATATTCAGCAAATTCATTGAACAACAAATCCATAAGTGTAAAGAAGCCGAAAAGACTGACACGCTTAAGCGGAAGCTAAATGGAAGTATGCACTAGTGGTGGTTGCTTTCATAAATCCGTTACAATTGCGGAATGTAGAAAAAATGTTCTCTAAACAAGATGACATAAGTGGCTGTGATATCAAGTCGTGAACACGAGTATCAGCCAATTTCGCATGCATGAAATAAGCATTTGGCTACAAGCGGCTCGGCGCGTAACGGACGTGTCTCACTGCTGTTTACAGAGAAGCTACAAACTGTATTTTGTGCTTTATAAAGCTAAATTGTTTTATTCCTGGAAGCTTGCGAAGCACCGTGTTTGTTACCTTCGGTGTGTGGCTGTGTCTAGATTTGCATGTTGGTGAACATTTATTTCACACTCGTGCCACACACATGGCACACAGTGGTGTGGTGTACGAGTTTCTACGTTTAGTGTCTTGTTTGCCCCCACTTTGCTTAGCTTGGCGTGCCTGCCTTCCCATCAGCACATGGGCATCTTGTTCCACTTACCACACACACGCCACAGAATTTTGCTAAAATTATCGCAATAAAAATCTTATTTAATGCTCTCTGCTTTTTATTTACGCTTTCGTAGACGGTCATGTGGTATTATGGAATACTTAAAAAAATACTACTAGACACATTCATTGGAGGAAAAATATCACGCATATTTAGATAAAACCTTAGGGGATTGAGAATATTTATACTCTCGCAACAAAGTTGCTAACGAGAGTATTATAGTTTTGTTCACATAACGGTTGTTTGTAAGTCCTAAAACTAAAAGAGTCAGATATAGGGCTATATATACCAAAGTGATCAGGGTGATGGGTAGAGTTGAAATCTGGATGTCTGTTTGTCCGTCCGTCCGTCTGTCCGTCCGTCCGTGCAAGCTGTAACTTGAGTAAAAATTGAGATATCATGATGAAACTTGGTACACGTATTTCTAGGCTTCATAGGAGGTTAAGTTCGAAGATGGGCAAAATCGGCCCACTTTTTCGGGCATTTCCATATACAGTTCAAAAATGGAAGAAATCGGATAATAACCACGCCCACCTCCCATACAAAGGTTATGTTGAAAATCCGTAAAAGTGCGTTAACCGACTAACAAAAAACGTCAGAAACACTAAATTTTACGAAAGAAATGGCWGAGGGAAGCTACACCCAGGCTTTTTTTTTAAATTTAAAATGGGCGTGGCGTCGCCCACTTATGGACCAAAAACCACATCTCAGGAACTACTYGACCGATTTCAATGAAGTTCGGTATATAATATTTTCTTAACACCCTGATAACATGTACGAAATATGGGTGAAATCGGTTAACAATCACGCCTTCTTCCAATATAACGCTATTTTGAATTCCATCTGATGCCTTCTCTGTATAATATATACAGTAGGAACCAATGATGATAGCGGAATAAAACTTTACACAAATACGGTATTTGATGCGAGAGTATAAAATGTTCGGTCACACCCGAACTTAGCCCTTCCTTACTTGTTTTTTTATTAAATTGTTTCATCTCTAACATAAACGCTTCTTTGTCGCGGTTGCTTCAATAAGACTTAACTAAGTTTAATTTCTTTTCATATATTAAGTTTGCCACGATATTTGTAACACCAGAAAACGTTCAGTGTGTTTACGGAGGCCTTTCTATCCAAAAAGTAACTCCGGCAAAGAGTAATTTCCGCACGGTTAAGCTCCTCCAATCGTTGCACGATTTGATCCCAGAATAGTTAGTCAAACGCCCCTTGAAGTCATCAAATATACCAAGGACATATTTGTACCGAGTTCGCCCTTTAAGCCAAAAACTTTCCGGCTCATGTCGCATTGATCAATTGGCCCAAGTTTATTATGAAATATTTGCACTGTATATGGTTAAGTACCGTCTTATTTGTTGTTACATACGAAAACTACAGTGAACAACAGTACACAGCAGAATGTGAGTAATTCAAAAGCGACGGATGCTATTAATTTATAAATATTTCACTTAAGTGGTCAGCGGAGATTTCTCCATTCTGTCATATTTACATTCGTACTACACATTCGTATGTTTATATGGCCCACTTCTGGTTTGTTTGTCTTTACCATTATCTTATGATTGACAATCATAACAATCACTTAACTTAGACGCTTAAGTGTGCGTATCCGTAGCGCAGGGGCTCGACAATTGAAAATTAGCGGGAGCTAAACAGAAAACACAGCTGGAGCCAGGAACTGTGACCAATTTACCATTGACTATCGTGCGCCAAAGCTACTTCCGCGATTTTGAATGACATGCAATGCCTCAGCCAATAAAGCCAGACAGTTACACTTATACATAGTAGGAAATAGTAAAATTGTCTGAGCTTTTGAAAGCATGTTTCCTAAGTCGAAATTTGTATATACTGTTATTACTATTATACAAAAAAAATAATATGCTAAGAGGCCATATTGCAACCAATAAAAATGTGTAATGATGATCTCTTAATTATTCCAAATTATTTTTAAGGAAATATAATATTGAACTATGTAATTAATCAATCAATTACACTTTTCTTATTTACAGAAAGCGTTAAATCCATACTGGGCCGTCACACAAAAATTCTGGTCAAGTATATGGTTAAATTGGAGACGAAAGGTGACAAAACCGAAAACCGTGTTTTGGTAAGTATGACCTCAATGCCAATACTCACTCACATTCATTAACCGCACTTCTAATACAATTTCGCTTACCTCTTCCGTTGGAATTTCCTGCTGTATCGCGTAATGTAAAAATAGAGTTGTAACCTCTGACGCGCGACCTTGCCCGCCTTGTTTCTGTGCCGACGACACTCCCAGGCGTCGGTATTTCATTGTAGGTGTCATATTCTCTTCACTTGTCTTGCAGTTGAATACCCACATATGCATACATAACTTTATGTTTGTATGGTATGTGCTTTAAAATTACACTCATTACCCTGTAGGGAAAATCGTAAAGCTGAGTAAAATAATTTTCATATAATTTTTGAGGTATGACTTATCAATTTAAAGGTTGAGCTGATTTCAAAAAAAAAAAAAAATATCCGAAAATACTATCCGGGTCAACCTGAAAATTTAGAACAATATTCTAGAGGTGTTGTAGAATTTAATAAGACATTAAAAACTCGATTTATTGAAACCCATGTAATCCTTTAATACAGACGAACAGTTTTAAATCAACTCAGCACGTCACGCTGATCATTTATATTTATGTATAAACATTTTACATTTTAGTTACAAATTTTGTGGCACTTAGTATAGGGCATACACACGGCAAAAACAACACTAGAATGAGTGTTTCGAGAGTAAAAAGAGTGCTAATATAGAATGCAAAGAAAGTGGTCATTATTGTACATAGTCAAACATTTTTTACTCGGCTTCTTGGCAATTTTCTTAAAGATGTTTAACGAATACTGTATGTAAGGGTTTTCGAATACCTGTCTCAAAGTATTTTGTTTTAAACTTAACCACCTTTTGGTAACATCACCTAACACCACTGTTTTGTAATTTAAATTACTGATTTTAAGTAAGGTTTTCAATCACAATAAGTTTAGGTTCTGAATTGCCTTTTCACAATAAAATTTTAGACGGATCCTTCTGCATACTGGCTGAGCCTTACATATTTTAACTCTTAGTTTCACTATTTCTCTTGGGCTCATGTGTTACACATAATATTTTACTTGTAGTTATGACACTTCGCGCAGCCAACCCACAATTAAATTGTCATTAAGATGACATAAATATGCGTTGACACATGTTGAGTTATTTGATATGTCGGTTGAAATTTTACTTAGGCATTCAAACGTTTATTCTACGATATGTGTATATGTACTATACATATATAGAATTGATTGTGTGTACTGTGTCATGGTTACTTTGTGGAGGTGCCTATCCATCTGTGTGCTTGCGGTTAGGCGTGCAAAGAGTTCACTCGCCGAATGCGGCGACAAAATGAGAGCAGCTGCTTCAGCAGTCATTAGCTTGAACCAGAGCGGTGTAAGAAGACAAATATATTTTTTAAATGAATTTTTGAAACATCTTTTCATCGTATCGTAGCAACAATTAACCTTTGACATTGAAGCTCGTTAGATACGAATTGCATTGTAAATAATTTAATTAGAATATAATAGAAAATATGTTTGCTATTATTTCACTATTGTTGCAATTTAGCAAGAGACAGCTTTATCGTAAAGTTTGTCATTTTTGATGTTTTACTTACTGCTGCTACTTGTGTTGTTTACAGTAACTTCAAATATTTATTTCGGCCAACTTAGAGATGATTAGAGATCGTTAGAGCCCACATAATTCGTCGATCACTCAAAAAGAATCTCGATTGTTGGAGGGAATTATTTAAAAAATACGATAGGGATGCTCCGAAACACATCAGTGGCATCGTGACAGATGATGAATCGTGGATTTACGTGTATGAGCCCCAAAATAAACAGCAATTGACTGAGTGATGTTCGCGCACGAAGTACTTCCAAACAAATATTTGCAGGTTTTTTCTGAGAAAAAAAAAATGGACATAGCGCAACCATACAGCTCTGGAACAACGAGGAACAGTAAATGTTGAGTAGTATACAACCATTTGTATGCCAGTTGTCTTTCAAGAAATTAGGAATACCAACCGCCGAACCGAATCACTCTTCACCACGACGATGCTAGCTCCTCCACATCTGAAGGAGCTTTAAATGCATTCAGAACACATGTTTTGAAGATACAATAATCAGATAGAAATGAGTCGAAAATTGTTAAAATCTTAGGATATATTTTTAAAACACAATAAAGCTATTTTCGATGAATAAAATTTGTTTTTGTTTTCAAGTCCTGAAAATTAAAAGGCAAAAGCTTTTTGTCTGCAGTCTCGAGCGACATTAACGATCACTCGAATGACTATTAAACATTGGAAATGACCAGTGCCAGCGCCAGCGCGGCTGTTGACAGCGACGCACGTGAAAAATGCTGCAGCTGTCATGGTGGAATTCGAGACTTGCGCCGATGCACCAACACAAGCACAGACACCAGGCATGCAGACGATCACAGCCAATAAAGTGCGCTCAACGGCAGAAATAACAAAGGCCCACTGACAGGCCGCAACCATCAGGGAAACGGAGCAGACGAAATTCATTCAAAGCGTCACATGCGCACACATACAAACACTGGTTCATACTTATATGAACAGTGCACGGCCAACATACATACATATATGTTATTGCTTTCAAAAAGCGTGTATGTTGTAATTTTATTACCCGATTGGTTACCATCTTTACCGGTTATTGGGAGCGTGCTTGCTTGTCGACGGCAATTGTGTTCGGATTGCAATGCAGTGCGTCAACAACAGACAATAAACGCGTAAAAAAGATTGAGGCACATAAACAGAAAATAAATTTTTATGTAAATTAAAAACAACAACATGTGCAACATATTTGTTTTGCGGAAAAGTTCGCTTTTGTCATTGTCATGGACAGTCAACTCTACATATATTTATTTATATGAGTAACATGCATTTATTGTTCAATATGACAAAACAATAATACTGAACACCTCGTATGTTTCTAGTGTACTCAATATGATTTCTGTTGACTTTTAGTAATGGGTTTGAGTTGGTGTACAGTCAAACAATATGAGGTATGACAATTAAGGAATCAGTCTCATATTCCATAAAAACCGTATATTTGAAAATTATTCTACAACTCTGCCATCCCCTTCAAAGTAGTTCCCTTGTTCAGCTATACAGCGATCTGGAATCGTTATAGTTAGTGTGACCTAAGGTGTGAGCAAATGGTGCGAGCAAATGTCTAAAATCTGTTTAATAGAATTTATTACATAGTTTAATTTCGATAAGTTTGGTATGCTAATGTGCCTGTTGCTTAGACTAGTTTTGCTGACAAACGAAATACCGTTACAATGTCTGCGCGAGTTTCAATAAGTTCTGCGTATTCACTTTCGCTACCTCTTCTAGTGTCTCATATCGTGGGGCCCTTCTTCTTCTTAATTGGCGTAGACACCGCTTATGCGATTATAGCCGAGCCCACAAATGTTTTAAAATTTGATTGCTAATGCGCGTACACGAAAAGTTCCACTGTTTGCCTGGTGCCTTGTTCTTGACATTTTTTGCAGTCATCTCGAAGGGATGATCCTCTACAGGCGTGTACCGTCACTGGATTGTGAGCAGTGAGTTTACAATCATGTTCCTACAGTCCTTTCTATCAGGAGTGAGTAGCAACTCTGTGTATTTCTGATCGAACCTTTGCTTGTTGTGATCGGATAACCTCCCATATTCCCGCACCACCTGCGTCTGCCTTTTTGGGGTCGTCAGTATAAATGTTAATTGTGTTGTGCCTGGTAGGCATAGGCCAACTATCTCTGTCTAAGTTTACGTCGAATTTTCCTTTCCAATTGAAATGTGATATCATACAGTCGGTATCTACCAAACCGTCTTTATCCACTGAGCTATGCCCGGAAGTTCTACATGTCAATTCTTTTTCCGCCAGTAGCCGTCCAGCCGATTTTGTCCACCAATTTCTAGCGCAGAGGTTTATAGGTGTCAGGTTTGGTACCTATTCAAGTCAGTATTCAATTCACCAACAGTCCTCAAACTTTTGCAACGCCTGCAGACTGAAAAGTCTGTATTATTTTGTTAAATAATGAATCACGAAAGGGTGAGCTTTCGTGGAGTATGAGAGGTTTCGCCAAGGAGTATTAGAATTGATTTCTAAATTTTTTATTTTTTTTTTGCAATTTGTAACCAATTTTCATTTTGGGACTGCTTTGCCGGGGTTTTGATTGTAAAAAAAATTTAATTAGTTGGAAATTCATAAAATTCGAAGAATGAATGAAGTGAAGGCTTTTATATCATGTTATTTGGCGAATGTAGAATCCTGGAAGTTCTGAAGTATTTCCGAACGAGTGATAGAAATTTATCCAGAAAACCTGTTTGATTTTAATTTCGATTTTAATCGGATATCGGTCCTAGCCTACCATCATCTACATTCTGAACCTGTCGCATCTAATTTAAAGGTTACTTTAACAAACAAATATTTTAATCTACCTCTTAAGACTAGTTAGGATATGTTACAAAGAATAAGTAGAAAAGGATTGGACTTCTCTTGAGAGTAAGAATAAGAAATGGAACGACTCGCTTTTGTTATTGTCCATTGTGTATTAATGTTTCTTTTTGCAAAAGGTCCTGCATTTGACTCATAGTCATAGTTCTGTGGAAATTCCAACTAGTTACGTAGTTTGCTTTTTGCCGTTCTCCTCTACTTTAAGGCTGCTTTAATATTATTGTCGCTCGGGTCGAACATTGAATACGAATTCGAGTGAATGAATCATCCGCATTCCCATCAACGACAGTAGCCAGTTAACTGTAGTCTTATTGTTATTTTTACACAAGAGTATTTTTTCAAAGGTTCAATATTTTCCAGTTCAGTGCGCACTTGACGATTAGTGCTTGAAATTTGATTCTAGCCTTTTTTTTATGTATATTCATAAAATTGTCTAAGTCAAGCGCACTGCTGCGCTTTTCATCGAAATTTATTAAGCTCTTTATTGGTTGATAACCTTTGTTTTGTTTTTCTTTGTTCGCTTTTTGACAAATTAATTTTTACCATAATAACTCAATAAAAGCAATGAATTTACATACA